TCATATCTATAGGCGACGGCCTATAGATATGAGCAGTACCATAGACAACAGAGTATACTGTTTCGCCCATGATACCCCCTATGCGTTGCCATTCCTGAGGACTAAAGTGTTATTCGTTTGTACCTTGTAAATTCACTGCCATATCCCACACATTAAACCAAAACACAGCCATTCAAATACAACTGCTTCACGGTATACGGACGATAGAAAAGCGACAGAGGTAGCCATGCAAACGACTTTTGTACAAAGTCTCTCATCTTTAAAATATGACCTCACTCAATATATTCTAATGAATAATTATATTAATTAGTATTAGTATAATATTAAGAATTGAAAAAATCTAACTTTTCTTAACTTTTTTAATATGTTGGTAAGTAGGTATAAGAAATGGGATATAAAATTGAAGCTACCGGTTAAAAATATCAGTACTATAAATCTAAACGCCAAATTGCGCTAACTTGGTAACGCTGTGTTACCGTAGCAAATTAAATTATTAACATGTTTTATGTCTGATATCTATCCACCAAATTTTTGTAATTGTCTTATGTTATTATTCAGCAAAGTTTTATAATTCTCAGTAATTTTTTTTATAAAATACATCTCGAGTGAGGCATCGATTGGCACCTATAATAATTGTTGTGAAACGTGGTGGTCAAATATCGAAATGTCGTAAGTAGGACTACAGGGAGTCTGGTAAACAATTATATTCCAAAGTATATTTAAGCTAGAATCCAATAGAAAATTAACTTTATTCCTTTACAAATACAGTATAGAATTAGTCTACAATATACGTGAATTGCGGGCAGTTGATTTTGTTTCTAGCTATAAAAATACAAAGGTTTTCACTAATGCTGAAACAAACCAGACAGGTGGGCTGAACCGTAAACGTGGTCAGAAATAGAATTTGCCATTTGTCTACTCTCCATGTTGCTTATATATTATAACTTAAGTATATCATATGCTAGGTCATAATAGACATTTTTATATTGTAAAAAGAATTGGCGATTCAAATATCTGATTAATTTATATTTTATTCAAATTATATTAATACACAATCGTAAGGCCAATAAACAAAACAAAACGAAAACCATCAAAAGAGGAAGGATATTAATTTAGAAATGCGCTGCATATTTATGACTTTATTAATTTCCCCAATTATAATTTGATTAAACTTGGTAATTATAATTTAACTTCGGAAAGTCGAATTGTTTACCAACAATTAAGATTCAATACCATAAAATCATGTACTAAAGCAATCTTTTTGTATATATTATAGGAGACAGTTTTGATTGAATATTTTCTCCAAATAAGATAGTTATCTTTAGGTATATATATATATATATATATATATATATATATATATATATATATATATATATATATATATATATATATATATATATATATATATATATATATATATATATATATATATATATATATATATGTATATTTAATCTCTAATACCAAAAAAACTGAATGGGTTGTATTTGTAGTTATAGGTACTAAGATGTTTTTTTGGAATTAAAATAATGTACCTATAGAAAATTTTTAAATATTTTTTTAATATCTACCTGCTAGTTCTGTAAACATTTTCAGCCAGTAAGAACTGGCAAAAAGCTCAACTGTCATATTTATTTTTTCAGGTTAAGATTTATCATTTTATTAAATATTTTTTATTACGTATAAAACTAAAGGAAATTATAAATATTCCTCTGAGGCGGCAAAAAAACGTGCTTCTGTTTAAAACTGTTAAAACATGATTCTAAAGTAAAAATATTATTCACAGATAAGATAGAGAATTAAAAAAGGACATTAAAAAACACGGAAAAGTTTATTAAAAGAAAACCAATATCTAAGTAATTGCTAAATTTTCAAACTGAGTTAAATATAAAAATATTTTCCACTATCCCATGAGAACACTACAGTTTCCTCGTAAAAGTACTTTCATTATTCAAGGGTTAAACCTTGACGCTAAATTTTTAAATTGACCTAATAAAGGAAGTGACATTCTCTTTATCTCGCGGGAACATTTTTCATTTATTATTTTCCCTGTGTTTCACTTTTCCTTTTTATCTAAACTTACATGTAAAATACTATTCTTATTTTTTACAAGATGTAACTATTTAGATAACATTACGGGCTAGTTTGTAAGTGGAGTTTGTGCACATCAACAATAAAATTTTATAACAGTACGTTAATATTATTTTATTTTATTTTCAAGTTTTAATTCAATTGTTAACGGATCATGTGAACTAAATAGAAATCTCAGTATTAAGCTATAATTTGTAGTATCTTAAAGTAGATCTAATTTAACTAATTGTCATCACACATGGCGCATGTAATATAATTTTATTGCTTTTATATTACGATATCTCTCTTCATTCAAATCAATAAACCAACACATATGTACAGATAATCTAATAATTCAGATGCTGAGCGATATCAATAAAGTCTGTCTATTATATATATAAAATTCACTGACGTAATATAAAGAAAAATATAATTTCAGGTTCACCTTTTTACTAAGACTTTTTCTATATTTGTATCGATTTTGATTATCCTTACTCAATATTATGAACGTTAAGGTGAGTTTATTTCTTTGCTTATTTTTTATCTCTTGGCATATGAAAGGTTTAATTAATCACTATGAAATTTAGTATACAGGTATTAATTATATAGGATGGAGAAGGACATATGCTACTTTTTATCACGGCCAAAATATCTCACGTCACGTGGCCGAAGTCATGAGTAAAAGCTAATTATAATATAATTTTAGCTGTTTTCCACTGAATATGAAACTACCACTTTTAGTTTCTAAATGCATATTATATTACTATAATAACCCATTACGCAAAGGAAGGTTCACTTTACTAGGTTCAGTTCCTATAAAAACAGGATGTACCTCACTAGCCAGGCTACTTGATACAGGATTTTATTTAGAGTTTTTCTTTTGCGTATATATATGACGATTATTATTAAATATTTTTTTCCAATATTCCTTTATTACTAAAAGAGTAAAACATACAAATCCAATAGTGACTAACAATTTTGATTATGTTTATTCTAATGTCCATCCTAATATATCACATACCAGGATATCTATCTATCAAAATTGACAAACAAATATTCGCGTTTAAAAAAAACTACCTGTTTCATGCAGCTTCACTCGTTAATATCGTTCATCTACATACCGTAAGAAGTCTCCCTGAAAAAATTCCGATTCCGGTCGCGTATTTTTTAAGATTTTGTGTTTCATTCAGTTAAAAACAGTTAGGGAATGAGTGATAGAATGGATTTCGTTTCTATATACTTAGATAAAAAAAAAACTAGAAAATTAGGATAAAAATTACCCTAGGTTATATGGTTCATTTGTAGCATATATATATATATATATATATATATATATATATATATATATGTGTGTGTGTGTGTGTGTGTGTGTGTGTGTGTGTGTGTTTGTTCCTTTCCTATAGGTGTCTCAAAAGGCAACTAAAGTAACATAATGGTCATAGGATGGGCAGCTGCGTCGCTTCTAAAATATCAACAAAAGCCTACCAAGCGTGGCAGCTACTGGCATAACCCGCTTTATGTGGAAGGCTTATGTTCAGCAGTTGACAATCGACGACTGATATGATGATGATGACGATATGTGGTTAACCGCTGGTTAATCGAAGAGGTGTTTAAAAGTGCTAATTTAGTGTTTGTGCATAAATATCGGTTGCAATAAACAGTAGTTTGAAAATGTAACATGATACAATAAAATACAAATTACAAATAAACTTCGCAGACCAGTAACCTATATATATCGATTTATATATAATGTAGTTATGTAGGCATCCTAAAGGGGTTATATCTACATATAAAATCTAAGTGCTAGAAGATGATTCATTTTCATTCATGTCTATCGTATGCCAATAGATATTTTATTGAATTTATAAAAAAAAGTCGTTTTTGTTTCACTAGTTAAGTGTCAGGTGTCAGACTCATTGTTATTTAAAAGTATCAACCTGTCTGTTCTTATTTCTAAATCTACTCACACTTTTTAAAGGATGTTTTATCTGCCCTTTTCTATTTAGATATGTAAATTATTCGCTTACAATGATAATGTAAAATTTCTTTCCAGTTTAATTATGCCCTAGACTCAAGTTATATTTTAAATTGGAAAAAAAATGTAGTTAATTATGATAGTTTTTTTTTTATACTAAGATTTTTTTTATACAACTTAGAATAGCAAACAAGCTGACGACCCACCTGATGGAAAGTGGTAACCGTCGCCTATAGACATGAGCAGTACCATAAACATAACAGAGAATACTGTTTCGCCCATGATATCCCCCATGCATTGACATTCCTGAGGACTCAGGTATTATTCCTCTGTACCCAGTAAATTCACGCCATATCCCACCCTTCAAACCGAAACACAGCCATGCAAACACAACTGCTTCACGGTAGAAACACGAATGAGACAGAGGTACCCAAGCAATCGACTTTTGTACAAAGTCTCCCTCTGGTAAGTAATGCTAAAAATGATAGACTGACTGCTGATTTGCCTGCAACTTCGTTTGCATGATCAAGATAACGTCTATTGACAAGGCAAAAAGTAGTCTACGTTTATCTTCATCTCATACATTACCTGAATAGGTACCAAATTTCATAACTATTGGTCATGTCGTTGAAGCGCCTAAAGAAAACAAACTAATTCGCTTTCAAATTTATAATTTCTTTATGTTTCTGTGCACTAAAAAATGCAGTGTATTATAAGCCATTTCAACCTTTTGCTTTAAATACAATAATGTATATGCAGGATAGGATAGGATATACCCTTTCAGATTACCTACTAATTCTATTACGATTGAAGTCGCAATTTTTTTTTCATAGAATAATATCTTAAGTATTTTAATTTGTTACTAACACATTAGCTTAAACAAACAGATCATGTCAAATATTTCAATTTTCCTTCACAGATTTAATTTAAGAAAATAGGCAATAAAAAAACATTGTTTTAATTTGCTAACGATATTTATTACGTATCAATTATTGTTAGAAATAAATTAATTAACATAAAATAACCTAGTTAGAGACGAGACCACTCCTCAGGAGTTCTGAAAATTTCATTTAAATTCCGTTGAAGTCGAGAACCGTGTAATTGGCTGCCACGATAGCCACGCCAGCTTGTAACAAATTATCCAAGAAATTAATAATATTATGTTTTCTGCGTTAACTTATCGCATAATAATATACAGGAGCTTTTTAAACGAAACATTTTTATAAACTGTAATCTACTAAAAACGATACGATTAATCACTAACAGTCTTCGACAACGACCAATTTTACATATTAATTCTTAATGTTCATAATTATTTAGTCTACATGTTTTTTATCATTTTACACTATGAGTATTTATATAACAAAACTTCTATCTGATAATAATTATCACGAACTATATTTGAACTACATTTTGATTTTTGTCACTGAAAAAAAAAACCACTGCACTAATCTATTTTAACTAGTATTCTCTATTATATATAACATTAGCGTATTATGTTACGAAGGGAACAAAACACGACAATATTATTTCATTTAATTAAAAAAATGTTGTCACAATTGTAAATCATTTACAGAAACAATTCTGACAACTACAAACAAACACGTAACAATTAAAGATTCCTATTCACGTGAAATTACAATTATAATATTAATTATACAATTAAGTTTACGGTGGGCAATCGAGGCGTTTAGCATTGTCAGGCCAATCGCAGACATTGAGTTTCGAATTGAAAACGGTCCCGGGAAGGCATGTAAACTGGACAGGCTCTCCATTCACGCAGCGCCAATACTGTGGAAAAAAATATATATGTCAAAATTAAATTTTGGACACTTTTTACTTACTATGTATGTAATAGTAAAAGTCGACATAGCCCAATTATAATACACTATCTACTAAAAGAGTGTTTAACTTTTTTTATTATTTCAGCCGTTGATTGTCCATTGCTGGACATAAAACTTCCCCATAAGGGGAGTTTTGCCAGCAGTTTCCACGTTAGGCAGGCAGGAAAATGCGCGCGGTTAGGCTTTTAGAGGTATTGTAAGAGGGAGGTTGCTGCCCGTCCCTTGCCCTTTCTTAGTCGCCTCGACTAAGAAAGGGCAAGGGACACTTACGATAAACTTTTGCTTAGACGACACTTACGAGAAAGTAAAGGGTGGCCCATTCTATGCCGGGACACATACAGCGATCTTTTTTTTGATGATTAAATAGCAAATAAACCAACAACTCATGTGATAAAAAAAATGGCAACCGCCACCTAGACATAAAACATAAGAAAAATATATTATGTTGCCTTTGCTTCGTAATATAACATCATTAACGTCCTTTTAATGAAGGTTTTTACCATGAAACCAAATATTTTTCCCAAAGGAGTATCTATTATAACTTTCCTATGAACAAACATAGCTATCAAACGGAAGGCTTATTTTTTTTATCATTTTGCAAGAAATTACTATATAATTGTTTGTATTTCATCTTATGTAAAGTTATAATTATATAAGATGAAAAATAAACTGTCATAAAATAGGCCACCCCTTCCTTTCCCATGGATGTCGTAAGATGCAACTAAAGGAAATAAATGATCGATGGATGGATAGCAGCGATCCTCACAAAACATTTCTAAAAGCCTAACTGCAGTTGCCACCCGCCTGCCAAACGTGGCAACTACTAGCAAAACTTCCCTGATGGGGAAGGCTTATGTTCAGCAGTGGACAGTTAAGAGCTGATATGAAAATTACAATTACCTTATCGCAGTGTTTCTTGTCAGCAACATAGTCTTGTTGAGATGTGCATACATCGTCAGGAGAGTCGATCTCGTTCTCCTGTTAAAACAATCACAATTATTCATCTAATTTATATACCATCGGTGTTTTAATTAAAATTCGAGATTTGGAAAGTCTTTTTATCTTAATTAATCAATATGTCTTAGTATGCGGACGAAATGGTGAACACGGTTAATTCAAAAGAAAAATCTGATAAACATGAGTAAGTGGTGTATTTATAATATGTAAATATAATACTGTACAAAAGATTAATAATATTGTTCAATGACATGAATGGAACAGAATATTTATTACTTCATGTTATATGTACAGAATGCCATCACACATTAAGTCCGCTCTGTATACATATTTTATTGCGTGCAAAAAATAAATATATGACAGGAAACGCAGTAAGATTGACCCACATCTAACATTCAGTTGATTTTGACTCGACAATCTCCGTGGCGCAGTGATAAGTACGTTGCTTTGCATAAATGCGGTTCCGGATTTAATTCCCGATCGGGCCAAATTAGGAAATGGATTTTTTGAATTGATTCGAGTCTAAGTGTTGTGGATTGTACCCCCACATGTTTGTAACCTGGTTTCTCATAATACAAGGTTTTTTTAAATATTACTTGTGCTATACGCGATAAAAAGCTGCGCATTATGGTATCCTAGCTTATGGACCAAACTATTGTTATAATTATGTGTCACATTATTATTATTAACTCGATTTGATGTACCTACTCGATATAGGTTTACAATATTACTAGTTTTTACCTAAGACTTTATCCGCGTGATTGGAATAGGTTCATTAACCGAGATAGAAAGTATAGCCTATCCACCATTAGATATAGTACGTATAGTGATTGGGGAAGCTAACTCACTTTGATATTTATAATATTAGTGAGTATATTTGATACTACAATACAAATTAAAATAAAATTACCACAGGCTGCTCAACATCAATATCAGTGCTAGTAGATGCTGCCGTAGATGTTGTAGGTGACTGCGTAGTCGAAGTAGTAGTCGGCTTAGCAGCAATAGTAGGCCTAGTAGTTATAGACGGCCTAGTAGTCGTAGCCGGTCTGGCCGTAGTACTCGGTCTCGATGTAGTTGTAGTGGGAATCGGCTCCCCTTCCGAGGGGTCGGACGGCGTCGACGGCGGCTTCGCCCAATCCGGCTAAAGATAATATCTCCATGAATAACGAGATTGCCATTTATCAGAACGATTTATTGCTTACATCTCATCGCTACAGTTTTACATGACTTTACCCCATCTATCTTTGTTATGTCACGACGCTGAGTGTAATTTGCGAAGTAGATATTCTTCTGCAGCCATGCTTTTCAGATATAATAATACAATTATGAAGAAATTAATCAACATTTTTTTTTTAGTTATTTTAAAAGAAGACTGTGTTAAGTAACGGGTATATTTGATATTTTTTGCAATTTATATTTTGTTTTTGCAATTAATAAACTTTATTAATGAAACCTTTAATTTTTATGGAGCAAAATTGTAAATTATATGTGTACACCTATATCATTCAATATTATTTACTCCAATTGTAAACCAATTTTGATAACTGTTCTTTTAATTGAAAAATCTTCCTGCTGTGCTAAATACTAATTTTATAAAAGTTATAGTCGGTATTTTCTTGCTCTATCATTAAGAATGTTAAATACTACTTGCATCAAAAATGTTAATAAAAAATATTTTTGATCCTAATCTTAGAGAACTGTCCCAAAATTACAATGTATACTTACTGTAGGAGTAGTATTTCCCGTGCGTGGCGGTGGTACAGTATATGAACTCATGTGCTTATGAAGTAACTTTATTAAAGGATTCTTTTCGCCACACAACCCTTGGAAGTCATCCATATCAATAGCCCAGGTCATAGCACCCAAGTAACCCTTTTCTTTAATCCAGTTCATCTTGATTTCCACACTGCGGGGATCTTCGTAACCAACCCACTGGGTGCCTTTGTAGGCATAGGGACATTTTCCGTGTTCATCCCATTTCTTAGTCCAGCCCGATTCCTCCTTATCGACTTCAGTGCAAATCTAAAATAATAATAAAGTTTCAAATAGATTTACTTTTTCTATAACTATGATATACTATTATACCAAATTGTATTATTGAAGCCTATAACTATGTCTTGATATATATAAATAATTAATTATTGTATTACTTTATACCGTATATAATTTTTTTATACAACTAAGAATGACAAACAAGCTGACGGGCCACCTAATGGAAAGTGGTAACCGTCGCCTATAGACATGAGCAGTACTATGGACATAACAGAGTATACTGTTTCGCCCATGATACCCCTCATGCGTTGCCATTCCTGAGGACTCAGATGTTATTCTCTGTACCCTGTAAATTCACGCCATATCCCACCCTTCAAACCGAAACACAGCCATGCAAACACAACTGCTTCACGATAGAAACACGAATGGGACAGAGGTACCCAAGCAATCGACTTTTGTACAAAGTCTCCCTCTGGTGACCGACCTAAAGTACTTATGATTACTTATTTAATCAAAATATTATACATACAACTTGAAATGGAAAACAATCTGATAATTAATTTCAATACCTATCTAATAAATATTATAACAAAACTCATATCCTTAAATTGTTTTTGTCATTGTGTTTCAACTGAATTCCTGATTCGGAGTAAATACTTAAGCGTGAAAAATGACGTCATTAGGTGTATTAATAAATAAGAAAATGTTATCTATTACATTCTATTATCCCAGAGCCCATTGAAGTAGCAGTTTCTACAGTTTAGATGAAACTCAACCAAATCGTTTCCATATTCTTCAGACGAGTTTTAATGCCCATCATTACTAGCAGCTCTTTCCAGTACATTCGTTTTAGATAACCGGAACTTATTTATTGGCTATCATTATACTAGCGGGTTCCGTACCGCTGTCACCCTTCGTCAATATCAATGCTGTAGACAGGAACCAGCCAATTAGAGGCTGTCTAAGCATATTGCCATTATACTTCTTCTCCAGGGAATATTACACCGAATACCATGGGATCTACTGTCTAAAAGATCTATCAATTTATACCTCCCTCAATGATATGATGTCAAATAAAAACGCACGATGGACATTTTATCCGAAGACAAAGATTACTATTGTGCAATTCGTGTACTATTATAAAATGCGCCATATAGCAAACCATTTTAAGTATTTTATTGTGCTCGGACTATTTAGGCCGTGCGTTTGTACGCGTCCTTTCTTTAAGATAAAAATAGGTAAAATCTCTTAGAATTAGGCGCATTTCTTATAATTAATCAAGGTTGATATCACTATATAATATAATACATAGCTATTACATACAGAGATAGTTTGAATATTGAAATCGTAAAAATTAGCCTAGGATGAGAAATAAATATAGAGTTCGGCCCATACAAAGGTACTGTCCTGAAAGAATAGTATCTTTCTATCGGTCCAGTCTTTTTTAGAAATGACGTTTGTTATATCATCATAAGAAAATAGTTGAACGGATTTTAATGATATTATATAAATTGAAACCTATATTTGCACTCCATTAAAAGTTTAATCTGTATCTCAATAAATAATTGAACATGTAAGGTAAATGTTTTTAACTACTTCAGTAGAAAGTGCGACCTTTATCAGCCTATCTCTACTGGGAGGGCACTGTGGAATAACACCTTTGAATATTTTACTATAAACTTTTTAGTTACCTATTAAAACGAGTCACGTATTTAAAAATTCACACTTTTAATATTCATTTCTAAAAAAGCGGAAGTTCTAAGTTCAACAGATTTTTTTGTATATATTTTATACGCTTAAGGTACACCATTGCCAACTCTGTACTTTACTGTGCTACTCTTTCATGTAAGACGCATTCTATTTTTGTCAAGACTGGAGTCTTTTTTGTGAATTAATATTTATAACAATATTTATAATCATTATTGTTATTTTATTTATTCGTATTTACGCGCTATTTTCTAAATTTATAAGTTAATCCAAATAATAACACTCCATTTTTAGTTCTTATACTAATTTGGTAATGATTAAAGAAAACTTTTTTTATATAAAATTATAAATATTTAGGTTCAAACAATAAAAACAGAATACTTACTTCATAATAAGCCCAGAAACCAGTAGCGTTCGTGTAAGGGGCTGGATCGCCACCACCTGCTTCTTTGTTAATGTATGTTCCCAGATTGTAGTTGTTATTTCCCGAAGACAGGGTGAAGGATCGACCATAAAACGGTATACCAACCACCAACTTATTGGTGGGACAGCCTTTGTCCTCCCATAGTCTAAGACCGTCATTCTGAGTAAACAAATAATATAATTAAATCAGTTTTCATTAAAAATTTCGTGCATCTTACCTTAAGGTCAAAACTTTTTAAGTGTAATAATAGCTGGCGAGGTACCAATGTAAAATGATAGGTGAGGAATGAAGTTAGACCAGTTGATCTATCACAACGAATTCGCTAGGAATTAACAATGTTGATTTTCAGGGAAGGCAGGGGGCTACATGGAGGTAGATATAATAGAATATATTTCTAACATTGGGGCCATTAGTAAAGTAGTTGTAAACAGGTAGATAACCTGTTAATTAACTAACTTTAAATATAACGTAAAATTAAAATAAAATTATCTTATTACATTCCAGATTTAATGCTAATTTAAAATAATATTATTTAACTTACCACATTGAGTTTTTCATAGGCCCACTGGTCATGTGGTCGCTTGTATAAAGGGGAATGAACATCGGCAAAGCCGGCCCAGTTGCCACGCAAATCGTATGACATTACATGAATAGCGTCTAGGTCCCTGTAATAGTAACATTTTTAAGTATAACTATTATATTTGCATGTTGATTTAAATTTTTGGCTTACTCTCCCCCAGCCTACTGATGAAAATCATTACAAACCAAAATAATTTTACACATGACACATGCATTGCAATATTCATATTATATAAGAATTTATTTTTAATCCACACATTTGGTAAACTACTTAAACTATCTATAGATTTTCGTAATATATTTCATATTTAAATAACATTTTTATTTTAAATTAATAATACATTTCCAAATATCTAATTATATAATAATTAAATTTTAAAATGTGGGATCGCAGTCTTTGTTTAATCACGTTTATGACTCAAATTACTATTTTTTTTTTACAATAATTTAAAAGTGAGAAAAAATGTTCAGATATCAGTGTTTCTATTATTTATGAAATTATGGTATTACAAAAGACATTGCATAGAATGTGGTATTGTTAATATCAATACATCTAAACTCACTGGCAAAGTTCAGGCACGTGGTATCCTTCCATCAATCTGAAGTTAGCGAGCGGTACAGCAGCAGTTAACTCCCAGCCTTTGCCAGCTCTGATAAAGGCTCTTCTCAATTCTTGCACCAAGTATAAGAACCGGTCTTTATCGGAGAATGAACCACCACGATCTGCTGCACCAGGGTACTCCCAATCTAAGTCCAGGCCGTCGAAGTCATATTTTTTTAGGAAATCTGAAAAAATAATATAAACTCATTCACATAAATATTTATTTTATATATTATCTATGTTACCTAATACCTACTATAAATCAGAAGAGTTTGTTTTTTTATAAGATAGATGGCATTGGGGTTTATAAATGCAGTAAATAGTTCGAAACTAACACCGTATTTGCCAATTTTTTATCGATTTAAATATAACGAACGAATAATTTAATCTAGACGACTAGGTAATCTTACTTAATATCATGGGAATATTATAATTATTTGCCGAGACAAATTAAACAGCGAAAAATATACAAATATAAAATTTCCCTGAAGATTTTTCAAAAGATTCTAGTATTATTTACATAACATACGTCTCGAACTACGAGTATCTTGTAATATTAAATGTCAAAAAACTAAACATAATTCAGGTACACCATGTTTCTCCGAAGTTTTTATTTCATTTATACCGTTCGTTCTTAAGAATGACAATATTTTTGTGTTTGCGTATTATATAGCAACCAAAAAGTTGTAAAAGAAGTAACTCTATTAAGAAGACTATTTGATATATAACTTAAATGAAAAAATATGAAAAATATTATTTTTACCACATTCCCTTGGGTTGCATAACAATTTTATTACACCAGAAGATGTGATAAATAGTACATAGTCGTGATAAAAATAGTAAAATTCTACTAACGAAAGAAAGGAAAAGAAATATTCGTACAAAATATTTCTCAATTCTTATAGATGAGAATTGGTAGTAAAATTGTGTTTATTATTCTTGTTTCCAAGCCAAGACACCAATAAGTATTTAGTAATAACACAGATAAAAAAGTTAATAGGGATTGTTATACTTTTTCTATGATAATATTTACGAAACTAGCGAAACTATGAGTACTCGACGTAATTACTTCGAATTTAACTATAACTAATAATGAAACCTAAACCCTGATGGTGCGTAAATTTAAAATTTCAACTAACTCCTGGTTATGGGAACACCGTTAATCTGAGAGGTAAATTCATATTATGCTCCATGAAAATATATATATTTTCAAGGAGCATAATATATATATATTCATGAAGCATATATAAACAAAAATTAATAGATATAATACCACGACAATTATACAACTGCTACTGTTTACCCCACCAGAGATTCCATATGTCAGCGTATTTCTCCTTTCATTTTCCTCTTTCGGCTATATACGCCTCGCCTTTATATAAAAGTAAAATAGGACTTATTACAGTAAACCTACATATATAATCTAACTTCAATCAAATTTAATTTCATTTAAACCCATCTAATTATTTAAATGTAATTAACAATTATCTAAACATAATAAAAAAAAGGTTAGGGTATTAATAATAAACATTTTTCACTTTACTAATCTAAAGCTATCATATTTACATCGTACAAATGAACTTTCCCAAAAAAAAATTGACGTCATAACAATGAAAACCACATCAAGTGTATTATTGTAACGTTTCATGAAACCCTTACGACATTTTATTATATTGTTGTTATTTTTATTGAGACACAAACAAAATTGTCGATTAAATAGAGCATATTATCATACTTATTTCTGTTTTGTTGATAATAAGTTCATTAAGATTCAGCGCAGACTCCCTTGTAAGATGTGACTTGTTTACGAAAATTGGACAAGGGAGCTGTAAATAATTCTCTAATGTGGCATCGTAATTGGTTTACTTAAATATAACGACAACTTTTTTCTTCCTGTATCTTCACTTGAAATGTATTTAAACAACGTCTATATTCAGACATTGTTTAAAAATTATAATGCAATAATATTATTTGCCCTATACATATTATATGATTTTAAATGCAATATTTTTCAAAATATTAGTATTAATATCTATATTTGTAACATTATTTTATAAAGATTTTACTTGCTGTCAGATCGCATTTTCTAAATACCTATTATAAAGTACTTCTACTATTTTTATGCCAAAATACTTATTTCAGCAAATTTACCAGAGGGAGACTTTGTACAAAAGTCATTTGTTTGGGCACCTTTGTCCCACTCGTGTTTCTACCGTGTAGCAGTTGTATTTGCATGACTGTAGTTCGATTGAAAGGTGAGATATGGTAATGAATTTACAGTATACAGAGGAATAACACCTGAGTTGTCAAAAATGGCAACGTAGGGTGGGTATCATAGCTATCGCATGGGCCGTCAGCTTGTTTGCAATACTAAGTTGTATATAAAAATTTGCTTGAAAATGAGCACAATTTTAATCCAAGACTCAATAATACTTATTAATTATTCATGTATTTACGTATTAATAAATCATATGTGATAATTACTAAAGGTATAAGCTATAAGAATCATAAAACCTATATTAAATTAATCTCTTATCTAAAATTTTTATTGAAAAAAATATAATAATTTTTTACCCAGTTACTCTCATCTAAATAATTGTTACATAATTATATTACATTTTCCGCATCTTTGTTCCCGCCAACACGCGGAAAAATTATGTCTGACCGCATAACTCACTAAGTGTCCCCGCACTGACGGCTGCCTTTGTTACCCTTATTTCATAATCCGTATTAAAATAATTAAGACGTATACATAATTATGATAAGTAAATGTTAGTGTTATTATGTAACACTATTACGTTTTATAGAATAATCAACCTGAGAAGTAAAGGCTAACATAGATGACAATATTTTAAAATGATAGGAACCGACTTAGTTATATGAAAAATAGTTCATTATACTCTGATTATACTTACTACAAAAACATATAATATGTAACAAAATGTTAAATATAAGGCCTATTAAATTCTTATTTTTGATATATATTATTTATTTAATATTTCACGGAATTTTTATTTTCTCTCAATAAACAACTTTTTATTTAAAACGTGCTATTTTTTATTAGAAAAATACACCTAAAGTGACACAATATAATTTAAATAACAAATATACTATGAGTATAATCTCTACCAGAACAGCAAATTGACCAGTAACTTTTAATATCCCTTCTAGCTCATTAAGCCTTCGGATAAACGACCAGTGGAAAAGAACCAAAGAGTCGTTAGTGCACTTTCTACTCACCAACAATACTTCTGACAAATGCCATTCTGGAGCTCTTCTGTGCGACCATGTGTGAATACTTGGAACCACCTTCTGCCCAGCCTCCAACTGCTACCATAAACTTCACGCTCGGATGAGATGAGCGAAGAGACGTGAAGTTGCGGAAACCGTTGTTATCTACATCCAACTGGAAAGATTAAAAGGATATTTTTACACTTAATACTTCACTAATATTTATATATTTAAGACCATCACGATAGATATGAGCAACTGCATAATCTTTGAAAATTGTTCCCATTATATTTTTGTATTTATAATTCCAAATAAATAGTTATTTACATCGACGTCCCAGAATATACTATGTAAGCCTTTTAAATTATTAATCTATTAATTACTATATATCAATCTTATAAATCTAGAAATTTAATAGGATATATTATGAAGAAAGTATTTAAAATCTAACCTAACTTCATAACACTAAAGTTAGTAATTATTTTAAAAAATCAATTTTTAATGAAATTTTAAAAATAAGTTTACGGTTGACGAAGACTCGCATTACAAAATATGCAGTCAAACTTTCTTATTCCGATCAGTTCACAATTAATACTGATTTCTATAGGTTCAATAGGACCTCAAGATCGGTTCTCAGTATAAAATAATAGCAAATTCCAAGTAATATTAGATGTATTCTAAATATACTTTACCATTGTAAAGGAATTAAACAAAATAATTCTAATTAACTAACCAGTAATATGGACTTATCTATATGATAAGTAAATCAGACAATAACAAAAATAATTCATCGTGTCTTCTAAAATAAAACATAAAAAACGTGAGTACCTAGTAAAGTTTCTCACTTTAAGTTTACGTCTGTGACCAACGATGTCCGGTCAATGATCCCTAACAATAAGTTAAGACATTGCACTTCATTATCTTTGCTATATGCCACCTTATTTTAAAGTTTAAAGTAAAAAAAGTATCGATTTAGAAAGAAATACGAGTATAAGATTCTTCTTTAACAGCTAAACGTATTTCGATATAGGTGAGTACAATCATTTCTAATGATAAAGTTATCAGTGCTAAATTTATTGCCTGATCAGTGCACAAATTAAAACTATATTTTATGAACGATTCTAATATGCTTTGCTTATCGCGTTCTTATTTCAAAATACTTTTAAATAATAGTTTAACATTATTTATCGATTATACCTAATTTTGCCACATCCGGAGGGCCTACCATGAAATGTGCTCCGAAATTTCGGAGCCAAACGAAACACAATTTTGATGTTAAAGTTACATAATACGAGTACATGCCGTTTGGAAATAATAAAAATGTTAAAATATTGTTCCTTTGGACTTTTATGATAGGATGTATGATGAACGAAATGTTAAACTCCATTTATTGGTCCGATTTTGGTATAAACAAAAACACGAAATTTCATTTCGGAATTTTATTTCATGGTAGACCCGCTGATCAATTTATTTGTATAATATTTAAATACGAGTACATCGAAGTTGCCTTTAGGTCTCGGTATATAATAGGTCACCCCTTCCTTTCCCTTAGGTGTCATAAGAGGAAACTAAGGGAATTTGACGGTCAAAGGATGAGCAACAGCGTCCCTCTTAAAACATCTTCAAAGACTAACTGCGGTTACCAATGCTGCGGTTGCCGCAGTGTGTAGCAGCTACTGGCAAAGCTTACTTTATGGGTAGGGACAGTGGACAGTTAACGGCTGATATAATAATAATATCAAATTCAGGATTCAAGCTTAATCTCTAAAATAAGCAACTTCTAAATTATCGTACTTTATAATCCATTCGATTAAATCGATCGTTATTTAACTTTGTTACATTTATGTTAGTAATTCAAACAATGTAACTCGCATATTTAATCAAACTACCAAGTCACTGTAAATTTACATGAGGGTGAATATTCGAGATACTCAACTGACAATGCAGCCTCGATAAACATATTACCCCACTATCTCTATGCATACGAATGCAAATATTAGCCGAGCGTTATTGTTTTGATGTCCTACTTTTTAGACCTGCATTCGTGATCCAGCAAATATTCTACTTATTTCAATATCTAGTGTTTTCACTGCAGAAGAACGGAATTCAAATTGCGTCCTTCAACATGACTCATATCTGTTTATTATACCAACATCCATAGTGTTACCACAAATAATATAATACTTTACTGGTAATATTACTATATCTACTAAAGTGTGAATCTATTACGTATTTTTCTATACGAACATTATTACAAAGAAGGACTTTTTTATTTTTTGTTCGTAATAGATAAACTCAAAAAACAATCGATTTTTTAAAATTTTGCACCTGTAAAAAGTTACAACATCAACGAATAACATGGGCTACCTTTCACTGTCAGAAAAATAATGCGAAATCCAAGCGAGTCATTAGTATAGATACAAGTGTTTCTATTCTCACCTCAGGATCAATGATGAGCACCTCGCTACTCTTCTCGGTGACTCCAATGAATGAGTATATAATGTGTGTGCACATATCAACCGGAATATCCTCAATCCCGTACCGGCCAACGCCTGGCCGGTACACCGCCCAGTTACTGAAGTAGCATACTATGCGCGCTCTGCCATCCGCTGTAAAAAAACAACGCATTTTAAATTACTTAAGAACATTTTTTTTAACAAGTGTAACCAATTTTTATTTATAACTCCCTACACGATTATATAAGTCATTTGTTAAAAAATTAATATTAAAACAAATTGAATCTGATGTCGCAAAATTGTCCCCTTTGACAGATTTTGTAAATAGTTGTTGTATCATTCTTTAAATCTGCCCTTGTAGGGTACATTGTCGACCCGTGTAATATTCCTAAAGAATCTAGTAATATCTTTGTCTTATCTTGCTCTTTAAACCAGATTACTGAATTTACAAGTAAAATAAAGGAACCCATAATAATATTATTAAATGACAACTTCATTCGAATGAATGCAACGTTAGACATGTTTCCATAAATAAGTAATTTGTAATGAAATAACTGAACGGATTTATATGAAACTCATATACAAGAATGGGTTATATCCTAACTTAACGCATAAGATACTTTTATACGTTGATTCATGTAAGCAATGTAGCGGGGAACGTCTAGTTTATTAAATGAAGATAAAGATTATTTTATCTATGTATGACTTTATAATCCCATCGTGTATTTAAGCATAATAATTAAGTAACTTTTTCATAAAATTCCAATAAACTTTTAGTTCGAGAGGTATTAAACAATCAAATAGTATATGTTAATTAAAGAAATTAATCATCGGCTTAGCCACTTCCGATATGCACCTAACAAGAAAGGAATTACCAACTAGCTGATCATTAAATACCGTCGTAGTATAAATTAGCATTATTTTAGCGGAATGGAAAATATAACAGTAATAAAAACAAAGTAGATAGTATCATACAATACGTAAATGATTGTCATTTGGAAATGTATTTGGTTATTGACCTTTCTCTATATTTGTATAGGTATTATTACAATGTGATAACCCTTAATGTTAATGTTTAATTCTATTATTAAATGAAATAATTAATAAAATATGTTATTAAACAAAGTAATATATTCAATAATCATAAAATTATTAAGTCGTAAAAGGTAACTAAAAAAATAAACTAGGGCAAAATAAGGAAAAATCTGAAATAAAACTACATAACAAACAAATAAAAAACAAACAACACGCCCAGCATGGTGAATTCCTCCTCAAATATGAGAAGTATAAGTCAAATATGTGCATTTATACATACCAAGGTTGCACTTTTGTATATATACCAAGAGCTTGGTTTCTTAAGTATCATCAAATAGGAATTACGATGAATTTAATGATAACGATCTAAAAAATAATATTAATTTTGATATTTGAATTATTTTATTCATTAAGAAAACGTATTCTTCTTTGAATGAATTAACAGAGGTAGCAATTAAGTAAATCCCTGCATATTCAATTTACATTGTGGAATAAATGTAACTAAGTTTACCATAAAATAGAATAAACAACATAAATTAATTATCTTCTTATGTAATTGCATTTTATTATACTTTTTACTACGTTTTAATGTAAATGTATTGTTAATAAGTTTGTTGTTGTGATAAATTACTTACATTGAGCAGCGTTTGTGAGAGCAATGCAGATGGCCAACGTCACAAGTAACGTTCGCATTTTGAACCTGCAATGAATTAAAAAGCAGTGTATGTAATATTGTTTATTGAATTGATAATTATATTACTATTAAATAATATATTTATATAAATACTAGCTTTTACCGGCGATTTCATCCGCATAATCGGAATATTTTTTACTGTCCGTGAGTTAAAAAGTACCTTATGTATTTCTCCATACCATATAGTACATACCAATCATAGTAAATAATTTAAGCATTATAGCGTTATTACATAACAAACAAACAAACTCACATTCACATTTATAATATTAATAAAGATTAAGTAAATATTAAATTAAAATATATATTACTATTCAAATATAAAGCTTTATTAAATAAATTGTTGATAACTTTATACTTCAATTAGAAAATATCAATTTAGTTAAATAAGGTATAATATGCAATAATAGTATTCAAGTCTGATATTTTAGTGATTAATTATAAAATATTAAATTATTTGTTTTAATATTGCTATTCAGTTCGGAGCTATATTTAGGAAAATAACAAAATTGAATAATGAATATTTACTTGTGTACTCGTACATATTTAATTTCTACCAATCCATTCTAATTGAACCCAGTTCTATCCTACTTTTTAAATTATGATATATATTATTATATCTTTAAAAATATGTTGTAAAAAACTGAATAATTTTTTATTCTAATCATTAAGACAATTTAAAAGATAAGATTGTATTAAAGATAACTAATCGTAGTATTCTCTTCGTTACTCAAATTTAATGATACATTTTCTGCGAAATTTATTTATAATTTACCGTTATTATTTATACTAAAATAGATAAAACTTTTTGGATATTATATAAATAGAAGCTGTTATTATTTACATAAATTGAGTTTGATCCATAACTCAAATGATTTAGGTTACGTAGAAACGCCCAAAGCACATTTCATTTCCATGTTCATAATTTTCTTATAAAAATTTCGTGTTCGGCAGAAACGGAGATAGAAGAATATAAATAACTCGGTACCCGTAAACAAGTAGCTAACAAATCTGCTGACTGATACGTTTTCGTTAGCTATGAGATAGAACAAGACTTTAGACATTTCTGTCTCATACTACCCTAATTTTTAAATTTTTACAGTGAAACTCGTAACATAACGATATAACTATATAGCAAATATCAATAGCGATAGGTTTATTTGCTAAGGGAAATTATTTATTATGTAGTATCATGGACATCTTTTTTAAATACAACTTAGAACTACAAACAAGCTGACGAAACACCTGATGGAAAGTGGTAATAATATCGTCGCCTATAGGTACTGCTCATATCTATAGGCGACGGCCTATAGATATGAGCAGTACCATAGACAACAGAGTATACTGTTTCGCCCATGATACCCCCTATGCGTTGCCATTCCTGAGGACTAAAGTGTTATTCGTTTGTACCTTGTAAATTCACTGCCATATCCCACACATTAAACCAAAACACAGCCATTCAAATACAACTGCTTCACGGTATACGGACGATAGAAAAGCGACAGAGGTAGCCATGCAAACGACTTTTGTACAAAGTCTCTCATCTTTAAAATATGACCTCACTCAATATATTCTAATGAATAATTATATTAATTAGTATTAGTATAATATTAAGAATTGAAAAAATCTAACTTTTCTTAACTTTTTTAATATGTTGGTAAGTAGGTATAAGAAATGGGATATAAAATTGAAGCTACCGGTTAAAAATATCAGTACTATAAATCTAAACGCCAAATTGCGCTAACTTGGTAACGCTGTGTTACCGTAGCAAATTAAATTATTAACATGTTTTATGTCTGATATCTATCCACCAAATTTTTGTAATTGTCTTATGTTATTATTCAGCAAAGTTTTATAATTCTCAGTAATTTTTTTTATAAAATACATCTCGAGTGAGGCATCGATTGGCACCTATAATAATTGTTGTGAAACGTGGTGGTCAAATATCGAAATGTCGTAAGTAGGACTACAGGGAGTCTGGTAAACAATTATATTCCAAAGTATATTTAAGCTAGAATCCAATAGAAAATTAACTTTATTCCTTTACAAATACAGTATAGAATTAGTCTACAATATACGTGAATTGCGGGCAGTTGATTTTGTTTCTAGCTATAAAAATACAAAGGTTTTCACTAATGCTGAAACAAACCAGACAGGTGGGCTGAACCGTAAACGTGGTCAGAAATAGAATTTGCCATTTGTCTACTCTCCATGTTGCTTATATATTATAACTTAAGTATATCATATGCTAGGTCATAATAGACATTTTTATATTGTAAAAAGAATTGGCGATTCAAATATCTGATTAATTTATATTTTATTCAAATTATATTAATACACAATCGTAAGGCCAATAAACAAAACAAAACGAAAACCATCAAAAGAGGAAGGATATTAATTTAGAAATGCGCTGCATATTTATGACTTTATTAATTTCCCCAATTATAATTTGATTAAACTTGGTAATTATAATTTAACTTCGGAAAGTCGAATTGTTTACCAACAATTAAGATTCAATACCATAAAATCATGTACTAAAGCAATCTTTTTGTATATATTATAGGAGACAGTTTTGATTGAATATTTTCTCCAAATAAGATAGTTATCTTTAGGTATATATATATATATATATATATATATATATATATATATATATATATATATATATATATATATATATATATATATATATATATATATATATTTAATCTCTAATACCAAAAAAACTGGATGGGTTGTATTTGTAGTTATAGGTACTAAGATGTTTTTTTGGAATTAAAATAATGTACCTATAGAAAATTTTTAAATATTTTTTTAAAATCTACCTGCTAGTTCTGTAAACATTTTCAGCCAGTAAGAACTGGCAAAAAGCTCAACTGTCATATTTATTTTTTCAGGTTAAGATTTATCATTTTATTAAATATTTTTTATTACGTATAAAACTAAAGGAAATTATAAATATTCCTCTGAGGCGGCAAAAAAACGTGCTTCTGTTTAAGAGGGAAAGATAAAACTCTCCCGCGGGGCTCATGTTTCAGAATGTTCAATGCGTCTAGACTGCAAAATTTTAACTAACTTTTTAATCTTTATCGACACATAAAGTGATGAGACATAAATTAACTTTCTCATTTATTTAAATTTATGCTATTACTTGTATAAATATTTATTTTTGCCCACGACTTCGTCCGTATGACCAATGTTGATATATTTTATTTTTTACTATCTAAAATTAATACTTAAAGTATTTTATTCATTTAATCTTGTTTAACCAAGAGGTATCTTACTCTAATAAGATTGCTTTGAATGATTTCTTTTTCTTTTTTCACTAAACAAAGTTTATTAATTCATATCTTAAATTATACAGATAGAGCTTCAAAAACGGGTCAACTTTTTGTCAGCTAATTGTCAAATTAACTGACTCGTTTTTTGTTAATGTTCTATATACTTACACACATAATATATCCTGACGTATCTTCATTTAATGATTTAATGAATAAAATTAGTTTTTACGAGTTAAAAAAATACAGAATTTATAAGACAAAATAAATATAAAAGTTATAAAGAAATCACTTATTTATCACGCCAAATTGTATGAAAAAATTGACCTGTTTTTCTTAAAGTATTTCTATGACGACACTCTATCTATATAATCTAAGATTCATATATTTGTCTTAACTGAAGTTGGTGAAGTGGCGGAGCAATATTATTTATAGACTTATAATTATTATAAATCATGAACAACTAAAGACTCATTCCAAACAGCTCACACGAGACGGTTTATAACGGGACACCATGTCCATAACGGTGTCAGACTGTGGCCTGTCAACATTGTCAACACCAACACACAACTTGCCCGCCTGACCTGGTGCCCGACACATCTCTCATTGTGTTCACATTAACAATAGACTAAAAGGAAACTATTATAAGATCTGTTCCAGATCGTAATACCTTTACAAAATTAGAACAACAACAATACAACGCAGACGAATCTAGTTAGCTATCGATTTCATGTTATTAGATGCTTTTACTGTATTATAAATATTATCACGACAGACTGTCTATAATAAAAAATCATAAACTTGATTTTTTTTTTATTCTCGAAGAAAGTCTTTGAGTATACTTACATATTTAGTGCAATAAAATCTAGTTAAGTACACGGTATTCTAAAAATACAAACAATATTTAGCATAGTGTATACATATATTTTCATAAATAAAGTTATTACATTCGTTGTAATTATAAAAGCGCAGTAAGCTACACGTCGACAGTATAATCTAAATACAAACTGTATAATAATAATAATAAATACCATATATCAATAGCCTAGTTCTGAAGCTAAGATATCTTGTGTTTCGAAAAACAGGTAAAACACATCTGGAGCACTACCCAAAATAATTAAATCCGTGCTTAATTAATTAATAGCCCGACCGAAATCGAACGCGAAATATATAAATTGTTAATAATCTATTTTTCAGTCGGGTCTTTAATGATATTTTCATGTCTATTGTTTTGTATGTCTTCAAAAAGGAATTCATTATTATTCTGCTACAGCAGAATTAAAAATAAAAATAATCCAGATTTAAATTAAATATATATATATATATATTAAAACAACTTACAAAACACGTTATAAGTACATATAATATATTACAAAAATGAAAGGATATGGTAGTTATTTTTCTAGTAGAACAAGTTCGCTACGAGTATGTAAACGATGAGAAATTATGTTAATATTTTTCTCCTGATCAAATACTCGTATGCAAAACATAAACTAATTGCATGCCATTGATTTCTCGAGAAAATTCTCATAATTTCATTCTTTAGAGGACAACACAGACTGGTTGAACATCTACAGAAATAGCAAAGGAAATCAGCAATTCAAATGATCGCAAATCAAAATCAAACTAATTGAAAACAGAAGTTTGTTTAGCACTAAAAGTTATAAGAACAAATTAAAAATAAAAGCGCAGAGTTTTTATTATACGAGAATGGTAGTGGAAAAATGA